GGGCTGGGCTGGGCACCCGGCAGGGCATCTGGCATGGCACCCGGCAGGGCAGACACAGGTTCCTGCTGCAAAAACATTTTCTCACATGTTTTAGGGACTCTTGTCCCGCCTTGAGTTCGGCTGAGCAAGGAGAGGTTTCTCTGCCAAGGAGAAGTTCTGCCCTGAATCAGCTCCTGGGTTGGTGCATCCTTGGGCCAGGGGCTGCTGCAGGGTCCCCGGGGTGAGGTCCTGGCTGGGGGACACTGTCCCCACCATGCCAGACCCCCAGGTGCATCTCAGGTGCTTGTGCTGCCTGAGGACTCTCTCCAGCTGGAGGAGCCTTGGTCAGACCTTTGCTCCCAAGCAGCCAGAGCATCACCTTTGGCTTCAGGCCACGGTGACAAAATGCCAGGACCATCACACGAGTTCTACCCCAGTGGACATGCAGAGAAGACTGGTTCTCTGTCCCATGGATGGAGATGTGGTGTCAGTGCTTTCTGCCTGGTTTAGCCCTCTGCACTGCCCACTAACTGCTGCTTCCATGGGTTGAAGTGTCAGGTAGCCAGAGCCCCTTGTAGCCCCCTCACCTGTGAGAGGAACCCAGGCTGGGTGAGGTGTCTGGGTGATTGCTTGGGCTCAGAGCCATGTGGATCACCCAGTTCTTTCCCAGTATGCTGGTAAACTGGTAAAACTCCAGGAACAGGAAGATGCTCTGCCCCGTGGTGGTAACAGGGGTCAGTCTCATTCCTGACTACTGACAGGGCAGTGAAAACAAATCCCCTGCAGCCAGAATGGCCACACTGGTGTGAAAAGGGTGTTGACAGAGCTGGAGTGTCCTGATACCACATTGGCTGCTTAAAATGAGTCCTCACTTAGGTAGAAAATGTAATTCTAGACTAACTTCGAGATTTTGTAAAGGAAAGTTACCAAATGTAATTCTAGACTAACTTCAAGATTTTGTAAAGGAAAGTTTCCAAATGTAATTCTAGACTAACTTTGAGATTTTGTAAAGGTGAGTTACCAAGTGTAGGTGGGAGCTGGGCCAGGCAGGAGTGGTTTAAGGGACTCAGGTGGAGCTTGAGCACCTCCACGTCTGAGTGGGGGTGAGCAGCCTGAGCCCCCCTCCTTTACCCTGGGGGTGCAAAGAGACCCCTGCACTCCTGTGCTGTCCCTTAGTGTCTCTGCAAGGTGGATCCTTTCTGCTGATGGGGGCCAGCCCCTGGCTTGGTGGCTTTGGAGTTTGGTGGATCCCAGTTCTGCTTTGCACAGGAGCCCAGGAATGGCTGTGGTGCAGCTGGTCCAGCTCCAACCATCTCCTGGAAGTCACTGAGCTGAGACCTTGCTGCTGACAGCTCTAGGTGAAAAACACTCCCAGCATTGAGTCAGAGAGAATCAAAAGGGAGTGAAAAGAGTCTTTTCCCTTCAGAGCAGAAGGAGAAACCCTCTTGCTTCTGGACCAGGAGCTGTTTCTGGCTGAAGGACCAGAGTAGTGGTGCAACAGGCGACTGCTGCTGAAAACAAAAAAGCAGAAAAGCAAGCAGAAAAGCTGTGGAGCAAAGGAAACCTGCTTTGAGGGGACGGGGAAAGGGTGAAGGGGATGCCGTGGGCTGGGAGATGCAGCTCCTCACACCTCCCCTCTGACCGTCCCCATGCCCGGGGATGCCCAGCGAGCTGTGGGAGCGAGGGAAGAGGGCAAGATCCTCCTCTGGTTTTTTTGTGGCTGCCGTGTAATTTATGATATGAGAGAGAGAGAGAGAGCACCATTGTCTGGACCCATCCTGTATTTTTCCGAGGGCTTTGCCTCTCTTCCCAGCCCCCCGCGGCGCTGCCGCTACTGTACGGTTGCTATGGGGCTGCTCCCCGTGCCGCCGCTATGCGGGCCAGAGCCGGGGAGGGCTGCCCGCATCGCCCGGACCCATCTGGAGCCCCGGGCCCGCTGCCGCAGCCCGGCGGCCCCGCTGACGTGCCGAGGGCCTGGGAATGGGGCTTTGGGCCCATCCAAGTTCACGGCCACCGGAGGCATTCAGCTGTTGGAAGGGCGGGGGCGGGGGGTGTGTGGGCAGTGGGATCTGGGGCGTTTGGCTCCATTCTCCCTTCCCTTTCAGCGCCGGCAATGTCCTCGGTGCATACAGATCCCCCGTCCCTTTCTCCTCCTGACAAGTGCGCACATAAATAAATTACCCCACCGGGCGAGTGTGGAACAATCTGTCCCCTAAATTCTATTCATCGCCAGACAGGACTCATTATTCCCCCGATTAAAGCCGCTGGAGTAGCTTGCAAGGGTTACAGTTACTCTGTCAAACTGTAAATAAGACACTAAAAATAAAGGGCGCTGGCGAGGGAAGGGGGAAAGGGAAGCCAGACTAATGCCTGCTGCTAGGGAAACCGAATGAATCCCTAATGACGCCTGTGTACAAACTGCAAATAATGAAGGAAAAGTGACAAACAGACCTCAGCCAGGCTGTGGCGAGGTCTTCTCTCTGTGATGGCAGTGGGGACCGACTCATCTCTTCCTCCAGGGACAGCCAGCAGCAGAGCTGGGCCCCCTCACACACCCCTCTGAGCAGAGCATTTCAGCCCTTGTCCTTCTCTTGCAGGAAGGTTTAGCTCTTGTTGGTGTTTTTATTTTTCAGGCACAGAACCCACCTCTGCCTGAACCCACGTTTTGAGGTTTCAGATAAAAAAGTCCATTACCTTTTTTGGTGGTCACAGAGCAGTGTGCAAAGCAGCAGCCCCCAAAGTTTGGTTTGTGCTCTGCTGTTCAAAGAGCTCAAAGCTCTGACCTAGAACAGGGCTAGGACCAGGGGGTTAAACCCATCCTGCCCAGAGCCCTGAGGGATGCAGCCCAGGCTCCTTCCCACCTGCAGCTGTGGCGAGGTCTTCTCTCTGTGATGGCAATGGGGACCAACTCATCTCTTCCTCCAGGGACAGCCAGCAGCAGAGCTGGGCCCCCTCACACACCCCTCTAAGCAGAGCATTTAAACCCTTGTCCTTCTCTTGCAGGAAGGTTTAGCTCTTGTGGGTGTTTTTATTTTTCAGGCACAGAACCCACCTCTGCCTGAGCTCACATTTTGAGATTTTAGAGAAAAAATCCATTGCTTGTGGTCTCAGAGCAGCTCCCAAAGTTTGGTTTGTGTTCTGCTGTTCAAACAGCTCAAAGCTCTGATCTAGGACAGGGCAGGACCAGGGGGTTAAACCCATCCTGCCCAGAGCCCTGAGGGATGCAGCCCTGAGGGATCCCACCTGCAGTAGGGCATCAGTGCCGTGGCTGAGATGGAGATGCAGGGCTGAACCCCGGGTCTGAGCAGCCTGGGTCTGCTCCTAGGCCATGACAGATCACAAGGGAGGACGTGTCCAGCCCTAGAAACCTCTTTGGATAAACCACAGTCCCTTCCTGGCTGGTCTCTATCCAGGCAGTAAAGATAGGGATATTTGCCTTGCAGCAGATTCTTTTTCTCCTTTGATATCTTAGAGCTGAAGAAATGAGGCAAAACCACCAGCTATAGGCTTGTTGTGGGTGTTTCTCAGTTCCAGAGGGACTGAAATGTGAGAGTTTTATTTCAGGTCCTGCTTGAACTATTCCCACCACCCTCACTGGGTGAAATGCTGGAATTCTCTGTGTTGCTCAGGGAAATATTTTGATTCACGCCCTCCAAGCCTGCAAAAGAGAAAAGACAGCTCTGAGTTGTGTCCCTCCAAGTGGGTTCTTGCTCTCCAAAGCACCAAGCAGGGAAGGTCCTGGCAGGGCTGTGCAGTCCTTGGGAGCCAGAGCAGACCAGGCTGGGCTCTGAGCCCTCATCCCCCAGATCTGTGGGGATGTCTCAGTGCTCTCCCATCCTCCCCCTGAGCCCAGCAGTGCTGGGGCCTCTCTGGAGCCTGATCTCCACCAAGGAAAGGCACAGCCAAGAGCAGGTGCTGATGATCCCTGCCCTGTGGGTGCTGCTCAGCACAGCACCCACCCCCAGCAGCAGCAGAATTGCAAAGGGCTTCATGCAGGCAGAGGGTTTTTTAGAGACTTGTTATGCTTCTACAAGGCTCAGACATCTTAAAAGGGATTTTTTCAGGCCAGCTGAGCTAGTCTGGAGCCCAGTTGCATTTCCCAGTCGGGTCAAAGCAAGGCTTAGCAGATTTCTTTCCCTTCTGTCTTAGGGGAAACAAACCCTTTTTGCCCACAGTTCCTGGCTGTGAGGCCCCATGACTCCAAAGCAGCATTCCTGGGACATTCCTGGTGCCATGGTATGTGCAGAATTTCCAACAGAGGCTCATGGCTCCACATCTCCTTGTGCTCTCCCTGTGGGACTCTGTTATTTGGGAGAAGCTCCAAGATGGAGCAGGAGATTCATCATTACCATTGGTAATAATTTAATAATTGGTATTGGTATTGCCCATGGTGATGTCTGTGCAGCTCCTACAGCCCCAGGTGGGTGTGTGCAGGTGCTGATGAAGGAAAAGCTGTGCTCCTGTCCCTTCTCAGCAATATTTACCAGCTTAGCTGGAAAAACAACAATTTGAAAAAAGTCTCATGACCAGCCAGACCAGAGAAAATCAAATCCATACTGTGTTGTCCTTGTGCTCTCCATGGAAATTGGGCAGCTCTTCACCACACCTGCTCCCTGGAGTTTCCCTTTAGAAGAGTTTTGTGCTTAGGGAACCTCATGGTAACCTGGGAGAGAGCTTTGGGGTTTTGTTCCCTACAGGAAAGTCTTGGCTTGCAGACTCAGGTGCTGGGAGCAGCATCAGGGCCAGGGATGCAATTGGGAATACTCAGATCTGCTTGAGACCACACCAGGAATGGCAAAATGAATTTAACTTGCCTTTCCATGCCTGAACCTCTTGGGTCACATTTTCCAAGGTTTCCCTCAACCTGTAAAAGTAAGATTATCACTACTTTCTAATGGAATCTGTGATTCCTCTCCATGTGAACCACCTAGAAACTCAAACTCTACCATGGTGTTTGAGGAGACTGGGGGTTGTTGGCCATTGAGCAAAGCACATCCAACCAGATTTGCCCTGGAGAGATGAGGACAATCAGGGAATGCTCCATTTTATATCTCTTCACAGCAGCTCTGAGAAGATCCTGTGCCTCCTTTCATTTCCTCAGGACACCTGACTGTGCTTTTCCACCCATCCACGGATGTCACCTGGATGTGTCCATGAACCAGCTCACTCTTGGACCTTCAAAGCTGGCTCAGCAAGGTCCAAAGGGCCCTGTTCCAGCCACACCCCTGTCAGCTCCCTTTCCTTTCCAAGGATTAGGATGAGGCAAATACCTCCAGTCTGCTTTAATCCTCAGTACCTGATTCTGCAGGAGGCACACGCAGCACACACACATCTCAGTAATAGCCAGGTAACTCACAGGGCTAAATCACTCTGGGTTTTTTTTTTCATTATAACCTCCCTTTAAAGCACATTTAAATGCTTCCCTGCAGGCTCATGTGAGGGCTGTTAAGGGCTTCATTTGAATAAATAAGGGCACAGGTAGAGGAGGAACATCACCACAGCCCCTGGAAACCCAGCGCCAGCCATGGCAGCAGTGGGCTGGTGAGTGGCAAAGGGCCTCCATGTTATATATTCCATAAAGTAGAGTAATTAAGTATTACTAGTTTTGATGACTTCAAACAGAGTGACTCCAGGAAATAAGCCCCTTCTTTATAATTAGTGGGATTTCCTCTGCATCAAACGGAGAGATTGATTCTTTAATCTGCTCACATGCTTTTGATTTGGTCTTTCAGCTGCTTGTACCAACTGCTTCTACTCCCTGCTCTTGCCGATAAAACCTTGCAAAGGAGATTTTAGGAAGGCATGACCTGAGTTGAGGTCCAGGATTTTCTTTGTGTGTGGCTGTTTTGTGAATTCCTAATTTGCCAGAAATGATGATCGTGATGATAACAAGAATAAAAAAATAACACAGACGTGGCTTTTAAACATCCACCAATGTTCAGGTCAAATAATTGGAGTTGGGGGTTTTGTTTATTGTCTTCTCAGCACACCTCTTAGCTCTGGATCATGATTTTTAGCACCTGAAAATGTAATTTTGGCTTCCCATCTGCAGGTGGGCTGGCCCAGGTTGGGCTCACTGCATAATTTGCTCTTGTAAGAGCACACCCCTAACACCAGGTCTGCTGGAATCCCAAGGGCTCCGCTGAAATTAGGGCTGGACCTGTGCAGAGCGTCTTGGATATTTCAGGGGCTGGACCTGATTTAGAGCTAAACACAGGAACTTGGGAAGCTCTGTCTGAAATGAAACAGTTTGTGGCTGCCCCATCCCTGGGAGTGTTCAAGGCCAGGTTGGACAGGGCTCGTGGCAGGGGATAAATGAGATGAGCTTCAAGGTCCCTTCCAATCCAAACCATTCCACAATTCTATGGAAATCCCTGCAAATGTTGCTGGTTTCCAAATGAAGAGTTCAGGAAAAAGTGAGAACTTGACCCCTGCAAGTGCAAGAAGCTGATGTGAGCAATCACCTCCCTCCTGGGCATCTCCATGGGTCAGTGGTGCTGCATCAGTCATGTGGGGAATGTGGGCTGGGGTCTGTGCTGGTTCCAGGCATGGACTAAACCTCCCGTGTGCTTCTCCCACCTCCAAAGCAGCTCAGACCTTGAATCATCTCAGCAAACAGCCCCTGGCTGGGTTTTCTTCTGCCATGTGAGGTTCTTCTGAGGACACAAAAAAGGGGGAAAATTGGGATTGTGCTGCTTTCCATCCACCTTTTGATGCTGTTGGAAATGTGCAGGATGAGCAGGAGAGGCTGGTGGGCTTCGTGTGCATCCCAGAGGGTGAGAATGAGAGGACAATGGCTCAGCTTTGGCCGCTGCAGGGCAGGAACTGGCACCACAAACAAGGCGGGAAGGGCAAACGGGGCTGTGCCAGCCCTGGCAGGTGGCACCAACCTGCAGGGAGGAGCTGTGGGGAGGGGATGGATCCTCCTGGGCTCACCTGGAGCCGGAGCAGGAGCAGGAATGCTGGAGCAGTGGTTGGTATGCCCTGCACAAGCCTCCCCGCGTCGGGAGCGGTGTCGAACACAGATCGTATAATTAGGGAGCCAGTGAATACGTAACTGTACATTATGCAAATAGTGATCAAAATCACTGTTTTCAGCAGAAATGCCTGAAGATCAAGACAGAAGCTTCATGCAACCTTAATTTAATCTGGTCCTGCAGGAGTGGGGAGGTCTGATGGATGACCCAACCTTGTGCCTGCCCGTGTTTAGCAAGGCTGGGGTGGGAGGCGGGGGGAGGAGTGCTGGAGCATGCTAAGCGAGGGGGAAATGGCACTGAAATCGTGTTAGCAAACAGGGAAAAAGGGCAGAAAGAGCTGATGTTTACAGTAATTTTATTTTTCTTTGAATTTCAGGTGAAGAGCATAAGGCTGGAAGAAGAGGAAAAATTAAAAAAAATAAAAAGAAGAAAAGAAAGAAAAAGAGTCTCCAACCCCAGGAAATCTGTGTTAATTGCTTATGAATGTCTCTGTCTAAAAAATTATCGAATTGATGTTGTCGTGCTTTTTTTTGACAGCCTGTCTGTTACATTTTTTTAAAATATTCATGCACCGAAATCTAATTACTAGGCAAATTTAATGATAATGAAATGAAGGCACTTTAGCAGAAAGCACAGGGCCTTGTTAATGTTTTCTCAGCCTCTGTCTTGTTCATATTTTTAAAATTATTTTTTTACAACTGTCTTTCTTGCACATGAAAAAAAAAAAAGATTGCTGAAAATAAAACTCAGATTGCCGATAATGTTTGTGGTGGTTCTGTTTGTAATGATGGGGAATTTGCAAGGTGATTAAAGGTGTTTTGCAAAAATCAAATGAGCCTAACCTAATCAGATAAGGCAGATGAAATATTATTATTAGAGGGGTAACATTAAGAGCATGCCTGGAGGCTTTAACAAAGATGAAACCTCTCGTGCACTGTGCAGGGCCAACGACAGCCTTCCATCCTTGGGGCCCCTCCTGCCCCCTTCCAGGGCACAGGACTTGTGTGCTCTCCCTAGGCCAGGCCTGGGTGGTTGGAGAATGCACACGATGGTGGGAGGATGGATGTGATGGTTGGAGGATGTCTGTGATGGTTGGAGGATGAATGTGATGGTTGGAGGATGAATGTGATGGTTGCAGGTTGGATGTGATGGTTGGAAGATGAATGTGATGGTTGGAGGTTGGATGTGATAGTTGGAAGATGAATGTGATGGTTGGAGGTTGGATGTGATAGTTGGAGGATGTCTGTGATGGTTGCAGGAGGGTGCATGTAATGGTTGCGGGATGGATATGATGGTTGGAGGATGTCTGTGATGGTTGGAGGGTGCATGTAATGGTTGTGGGATGGATGTGATGGTTGGAGGATGCATGTGATGGTTGCAGGATGACCATGATAGTTGGAGGATGTGCGTGATGTTTACAGAACACACACAATGGTTGCAGGACACATGATTGTTGCGGGATGGATATGATGGTTGGAGGATAGATGTGATGGCTGGAGAAGGCAAGTGATGGTTGGAGGATGGATGTGATGATTGCAGGATGGATGTGATGACTGCAGAATCTATGTGATGGTTGGAGCATGGTTGTGATGGTTGGAGGATGCCCATGATGGTTGCAGGACACATATGATGGTTGCAGGATGGATGTGATATTTGGAGGATGGATATGATGGTTGCAGGATGGATGTGATGGTTGGAGCATGGTTGTGATGGCTGGAGGATGCCCATGACGGTTGCAGGATGGATGTGATGGTTGGAGGATGCACACAATCATGGGAAGACACAGTTGCAGGATGGATGTAATGATTGGAGGATGGATGTGATGGTTGGAGGATGGATGTGATGGTTGCAGGATGCACACAATTGCTTGAAGGCACAGTTGCAGAATGCACATGATGATGGTTGGAGGATGCACACGATGGTTTGATGGTCCATGTGATGGTTGGAGGATGCACACGATGGTTGGATGGTCCATGTGATGGTTGGAGGGTGCACATGATGGTTGCAGGACGCACACAGCGGTTGCAGGACACATGTGATGGTTACAGGATGGATGTGATTGATGAGGAGTGCAGGTGATGGATGGAGCATGAACGTGAGGGTTGGAACGTGTGTGTAACGGCTGCAGAACACTCATGGTGAGTGGAGAACTTGTAATGGATGGAGCATGAACATGACCAAACAACCACATGGTGGATGGAGCACGCACGTCATGGCTGGAGGATACACGGGACAGGTGGAACACAGGTGATGGTTGGAGTATGCACAGCATGGACCTGGTATGTGATAGTTGGTCCACTTGCTCCAGGCCCCTCCTGCACCCCTCTCGGTGGTCACTGAGCAGAGTGGCAGCAGCTGGGTGGCAGAAAAACACCATGATCCCACCTGTGGGCCTGAGGAGATGCCAGCTGGGACCCACGGGCCATCAGGGCAGGGGCCAGCCTGATTGCCAGGAAGGCGTGGTGGGTCCTTGGCCATGCTGCAGGCTGGGTGGGCATCCATGCCGTGGTGGTGTCCCCAGGCCATGGTGGATGTCCATGCCCTGGTGGTGTCCGTGCCCTGGTGGGTGTCAAGGCCATGATGATTGTAAATGGTGGGTGTCCAGGCTGTGGTTGGTGTCCAGGCCATGGTGGGTGTCCCCCGGCCATGTAGATGTTTATGCCATGGTGGGTGTCTATGCTGTGGTTTGAAGAATTTTTTCCATGGTTGTCTATGCTGTGGTGGGTGTCCATGGTGGGTGTCCATGCTGTGGTTGGTGTCCATGCCATGGTGGGTGTCCATGCCTTGGTGTGTCTCCATGCCATAGCCTGTCCTGCATGCAGCTCTGCCCCTGCTATTTCTATGACCTAAAGGCTGATTGATGTTGAGGATGATGTCAAAGGTTTCACTGAGGGGGCTGGTGACCCCAAAAATTTCTGTAGAATTTCCACTTCTGGAAGACCATCAGGAAATTCCTTTTGCTGTGGTTGGAGCGGTCACCACCTGGAGAAGGTGGTGTGGGTGGGATGTGCCAGCTGGGCTTGTTTGGCTGCCCTGTGGTGGGTGGCTGGAGGCCAAGCTCACACCTTTGCCTCCCCAGCACAAAGTGAGGGGTCTCTGTGGTGTCCCTGCTCCTGTAGGAATGAGGTGTGTGTGTGAGGAAATTCACAAGTTTGCAGCCCTGGCTCTGAACATGGCTGGTCAGAACTGATTTTTCCTCCCCAGAAATGCTGCTCTACATCCTGGGCTCACCAGGGGCAGCTCAGTGGGTTGGAACAGCTGTGCCAGGTCCTGAGGGAGCACCAGTGCAGGGCAGGATGTGTTTTGGACCTCCTTTGATTCTCAAACTCCCTCAGCAAGGGCAAGGCTCCCTGCTCAGCCCTCCTGCTCTGCAGCCCAGATTTCTCCAACGTGGCAAATCTCCTGGAAGTAGCTCCCAGACCACGTTAATCCCCTTAATCCTTCCTGCAGCCCTTCCCTGCTGGTGCTCAGGCACTGAAAGGCTCCTGACACATCTCTCAAGTGCTGCAGCTGCCTGAAGAGGGATCCCAGCTCCTCAGAGTCAGGGGACCAGCCCTGCCTCCCTTTTGTGCCTCTGCCTTCCACACCTCCTGCTGCAAAGCCTTGGGCACTTGTGGGTCTGAGAGAGGGACAGGGAGAGCTTCCTGACTGCTCCCAAACCTGCCACACACCCTTGGGGTCTGGATTTCCAGCCTTGCAGCAAGGAATTCTCCCTCTGCACTCAAGGTTTTTGCAAAAGATTTGTCTCCCTCCTCTCCCCAGCCACAACCATCAGATCTGTGCTTCCCCCTGCCCTGAGGAGCGGTTCAGTGACACAGGGAGGGCTCACAGACTCTGCCATGGGGACTCCATGAGTTCTTTTCCCTCCTTTTTCTTCTGTGCTTCTTCACTTTGTGTCTCCTAAAATGCTTCATGTGGTTTTCCTCTGACCTCCAGCTCATCTTATAGGGGA